AAGAGAAAAAAATAAAATTAAATCGATCTCATAATTTTTAGGTGAACCAAAGCCTCCATTATTTGTTGACTAGAAAATAGGGATTTAGTTCATCCCGGATGCGAAAAACCCACGCGAGAATTCAGAGGTAATTCTCACAGACATTGTCTCGGATCGAGAAGAGTTAATTCGTTGGGAAATCAAAAAGAAAAGTAACGCTAAGAAAATCGTCTTCCCTTCGTCTGACATCCAAAGAAAGAAAAGCCATTAAGAGCCAAAAGGAAGAAAAGTCAAAGCTCTCCTAATTGCTCCTGACATGCGGAGGAAAACTACTACCAAAATCCACGAAAGGAAAAGTCAAAGTTCTAAAAGCTGAAAAATGTCCCAAATTGTCTCTTCTCTATATCTCCCTATCTGCGGCTGCCCAGAGGAAGAAAAAAAGAGAGTCCAGGTCTTGTTCCATCTCCTCCCGTTTCAGCAATTCCACAAAAGTAGAAAAGTTCCTCCGTTTACGAAAATGCCCCTGGAATGTGGACTGCTACTTGAACTCCTTTTCTTCAAATTGGCACTTATTATGATATTTTTGTTTTACTTCCTGTAATAAATGTAAATTGCAAGAAGTGAGTATTGCCAGAAGTGAGTAGAATCTGACAATTAATCCACATAAGGTCAGGTAATAAGAGAAATTAATTATAAAATAAATGATAAAATTGCAACCTATCAAAGAATTAGATGTTCTGGGAGGCGGTCAATTGTCTCAATTCTGCTTGAACATCTTAATGCTTCCATATTGTGCTTGGATCTAGTGCTTGAATAATATGCAATACATTATACTTACAATGCATAGTCTTGCTCCCAGTTTCTTTGAATTTTGATTTTGCTACTGTATGAAATTTCAGTTACAATGAGAACAACATAAGGGGATAAAAGTTGAGGATCAATTGTCCAATAATAGGGCCTAGTAAGTAACCTAGGCAATATTGGGTTGAAAGAAAAGTTAAAAAAGGAAGTGAAGAGGAAGGAGAAACGAAAAAAAAAAAAGATAAAATGTTAAATAATTGGAGGAACTGCCAAGAAAAAAAAAATCAGAAGGGAAAAGGATTTTTGAGTGAACAATTTATTTATGTGCAAGTCGCGTCCTCTGGCTCTGGCAGCCCAACTTATGGTCAAAATTCGTGAGAAGCACAAATTCGGTATAATATATTATTAACAAGGTATCAATTGGGAACATTCTACCCTTGTAGTGACAACAGACTCCATTATTAGCAGGGAAAAAGGAAAGCGAAAAAGTGTATAGGGGGCAAAGTGTAATATTTTGACAAAGCTTAGTTTTTTTTTTTTTTTGAGGGAATGTTTTGATAAAATTAGTTTATGAAGCAAAGTGAAATACCAACTTATATGAAGGTGCACTTTGTTGCTTTGATAATATCATTAAGTATTAATCTTTTCTACACTATTAACGTATACATTTACGAGTATAGAGGTATGTCACGTTGTCTCAATTTGAATTTAAATATCAAACTTTGCAAGTATCTAAAACCTTGTAACCTATATACCAGCAATGATTTGTTTGTTAAACAATCTCATTTTTAGCTTGTCAGCTTGAATATAAATATCAAACTTTGCAAGTAACTAAAACCTTCTAACCTATATACTAACAATGATTTGTTCGTTAAACAATCATATTTTCAGTTTGTTTGAAATGACATTGCTATTTAAGCTCTTACTTGTGTTAATTCCACTTTGCACTCTTTACTACGACTATCTTTTTCATCCTTAAACTACACTTTACTCTTTAAACTGTAAATTCCGTCCTACTTAAATACAATTCTCAACGGAATGCTCAAAATTAACAGAATAATTCCCATATCCTGTTAACTTATCATTTTAACTAAAATTAACCAGATGTATTGGGACATATATGTCAATTCAGAAACCCTTAAAACTCTTAAAAATTGAACATTATTTTCTTTTTCTTCCTTTGTTCTTGCATTTCTTCTTATTTCCTTTTCTACTACCAGACAGAAGGTACCACCATCGCCAACAACATACAATCAATAGCTTAACTAAGTCTAGCACCGGAATCAATAACGTGCATGTCTCTCCATCATTGAAAACCAATATCCACATAATCATCCGCTGCAAAACGAATCCAAAGGAAATTAAAGACCATCCATGCTCCCAAAAATGCTTCGATCTCACACTCAACATTACCCACAATTAATACAACCCTCCCTTCAAATCTAACGGCACTCTGCTTCCAATTTCCACTTTCAATTTACAGCAGCAAGTCCAAATATTCTGGAAACCCACAAAACCATGGTTAGACCATAGACAATCCTTTAATCACCCCATATTTAAACCCCTATATCCAAAAAAAAAAAAATCCCAACTAAAAGAATTATTCTCAACCAAAACAACAACGATGGTACTAATGTTGAAGAACAAGAGACATTTGCGGTCAATGTCAAAATTGATTAAAAAAGGGTGTGATATGAAAAAAAATCAATTTTTCCTAACTGCATGTGACTTTTAGAATTCCTCGACTAATTTTTTTTTTGTTTAACCAAATTCACGGGTAATCTAGGTTTGAAAATTCTAGCAGTATCGGTTTCGTGGTTGTCATTTGAAGTCTTCAGTACCCTTGAACCTTAGTAACAGCAACTTTCAGCTCTATAAATCGGACATTAAGAAACTCGCCAGAAAATCACTATTCTGTAGTAGTATTAAAATTTAAAATGCTTTATCTTAGAGTCTAGATCTATACTGGTGGGCAAGACATTGCTTGCGGCTTGGATTTCAACAAATTAGAAATTTTCGGCAATTTTTTGGAGATTAAAATTGAGTTAGAAAGGTGAGAGAGTTAGATTATTGAGTAGATTGGTTAGGAATAGAACTAGGAGAAGGGATCATTAAATTAAGATGAACAAGAACAAGCAGACGAAAGTACAACAAAAGAATCATCATTGGATTGAGAGGTTTTTTTTCTTTTTTGGGGTCTCATGAATTTACATTTTTGTCCCCAAATAATTTTGTTTCATTTTAATTACACTCATATAATTCTAGTATTAATTTTCTTTCACGTTCCATCAAGAATTGCATTGAAGTGGGACGAAATTTATAATTTAGAGAGTAAAGTATTTCATTTTTAAAATTGAAGTTTAAAGGGTGCAAAATGAAATTAACCCTTCTTGCTCCCCACGGTCTTGCTTTCCTGCATCCCCAGCTTAACTCATCGTGCTAGTGTAATAATCCCAGCATCGAACTCTCCCTCTCATATTTCATCAACTATTTATTAACCGATCTCAACTCCGCTCCGGCGGTCCCTTTTGGACGGAAACCTAGACGTTTACCGAAGCTGTATGTATGCATCAATAGACGTTAATCTCTCCATAGATTATCCATGGAAGACAAAGAAACAGAGTTCCTCTGTAAACTCACAGCAAACCATCTCTTTTTAGCCCAATTCGGGTGCCTATGAATGAGATAGCAAGAAAATCAGATCTACTCAAAGATCTGGCATTTACTTCAAATCAGATCTCGGGGTCGGATCCTGTTCTGAGAAGTAAGGAAATTTTTCCTTACTAAATTTGACGCCGGATATGATTTGCTTCGAGCCAGATCCCAGGATCGAACTCACTTTTGAGAACTGAGAAGTTTCTTTTGATTTGATCTGACTTTGGAGTTTGGACTTACGGTCAGATCCTTAAAATTCATTAAAATTTTACCACCAAAGGATGCCTCAACTTTAGACAAAATGTTTCTGATCACTTGCACTCTTATGTAAATACCTATTCACATGAAACAAAACCTTGAAAATTTATTTGATCATTGACTATAAGATACAATTCTTGAATCATAACAATTGTAGCTGTGCAAGATCATGTAAAGGATTGATTTACTGTAGAAAATCATTCTTCACATTTAAGAATAGTTTAAAACTACGCTCTATTGTTCTAATCGGTCTGTTATATTAATGTATATTATAGACAAACAAACTTTGTTTTATCCTGAAAGATATTTATCCTTTGTAATAGATATTAATAGTGAGCAAGTATAGCCCAAAGAAAAGTGGTTACTGCAATTTAGGTTTTTTTTTGAGAACTGTAATTTATGATTTGAAACCTTTTCTATCTTTGTCCATCTCCCTAGTGTTTATACCAAGAGACTAAAGTCTTCGGGTCCATGCAGTGTACTAAAATGCAAGCTTAAAATTATAGACTTAAAAAAGGAAGTCAACAGCAAGTGTTTGGTCGTTCCTAACAAGTAGCTGAGGGAAGTGGACAAGTCATTTAGCAGACTCACTGTCATAGACATGAAAGAATAAATTGTGGAAAATTAGGAAAATTGAAATGTAATTTGGAAAATTAGGCTTTTATGTTTGCTCAATCATTTTATTTTCATTTATTTCTCAGCAAACTGGAAGGATTACATGCAAAATTTCCATCATCTCAAGGTGGATTTCTTGAGAAAAAAAAAAAGAAAAAAGAAAAGCAAACAGAGCAAACTGTCACCCTTGGATTTACATCTGTGATCTGATTTCCAAATTCGTAAAACCATTTTTTCTAATTGGTGTATAGGTCATTTTCCAAATTGATAGACGGTGATACGTAAAGGACCAATAACCATTTTCCCAGCTGCGGACCATAAATGATAGTCTTCACCCACTATTTTTCCGTTTCATTAAAAATCTGGGGACCACCAAATTATCCCTCATGTTTTGGAAAAAAAAAAAACTTTTTCTTGTCTATCACACATTCTAAAATGAAGCAAATTAGCTTCAGGATGACAATCTGATAACATTGGAACGTTACTTTAATTTTTTTCTAAATCTAGCAGACTCCTAATATGCGCATGACATTAAGTCAACATAAAAAGAGAAAAAACTAAAAATTATAACATCAAAAACAAACCCTTCCTTTTTAAAAAAAAAATAAAATTTTTTGAGAAAATGGCATTAAAACAACATAAAAAAGGGAAAATTTGGGAACAGATTAAACAGAACTCACCTAAGCCAACCGACAGATTCTAGCATATCAACATTCTTGTGATTTCTGTTAATTGGGAAGATCATCGAACTTCCCAATACCATGTGGGGATTTCGCTCATCAACATTAGCGAGCATTTTTCTCCTACTTTTCAGTAAGCCATGTTTCAGCTTCTAAAAAATTTCAAAATGAGACTGATCGTCTGGCTCTGCTTGAATTCAAGAAGCAGATATATGATGACCCTATTGGAGTGCTGAATTCTTGGAACCATTCACAGCACCATTGCCGGTGGGAAGGAGTCACTTGTGGTGCTCGACACCAAAGGGTCATTGCCTTGATTCTGAGGCATAAGCAGTTGTCTGGAATCATATCTCCTCATGTCGGAAATCTAAGCTTCATGAGGTCCATCCAACTTGCGGAGAATCAATTCCACGGCGAGATTTCCCAAGAATTCGGTCGCCTCTTCAGGCTGAGAGTCTTTAACCTGTCAAGTAACGCAATCGGTAGAAAGATCCCAGCAAACCTGAGCTACTGCGCAGAGATGATAGTTATTGACCTAACCAGTAACAAGCTAGAAGGGAAGATTCCAATTGATCAGCTAAGCAATTTGAAGAAGCTTAAAGGAATAGGTTTTAGCAAAAACAATTTGACGGGAGAGATTCCCTCTTCCATTGGGAACTTATCATCATCATTGATCGGACTCAGCCTTGGCTTCAACAATCTGGAGGGAAGTTTGCCTCTAGAGATGGGGTTCTTGAAAAGGTTGGTTCAATTATTTCTTGCAGAAAATAAACTCTCTGGTATAATCCCTGCCTCCATCTTTAATAGTTCAGCCATTACTTTCTTTTCAGTGGCCGGCAATTCCTTTCATGGCAATCTCCCAACCAACATAGGTCTCACCCTACCAAATCTGGAAGCATTAGCTGTTGCGGGAAACAATTTCTCTGGAAACTTTCCCACTTCAATCACCAATGCTTCTGGGCTTGAGGTACTTGATCTTTCCGAGAATAAGTTCGCAGGCCAAGTTCCAGCTAATTTAGGAGATCTGACAAATCTTCAATTTTTAAATCTTGAAGAAAACCTCTTCGGCGGTAATTCAACTGGAGACTTAGATTTTATTGCATCATTGACCAACTGCAGTGATCTAAGCGCTTTTTCATTGAGTTACAATAATTTTGGAGGCAATATACCTAAAGTCATGGCCAATCTCTCAAATCAACTCACTGCATTGGACTTGGGAGGAAACCAACTGTCAGGAACCATTCCACAAGGATTTGGAAACTTTGTCAACCTAATTCAACTTGGCCTTGAAGAAAACTATCTCTCAGGAGTCATTCCAAGAGATTTTTGCAAATTACAAAATTTGCAATTTCTAAGTCTAGACCATAATGACTTGTCAGGACAGATAGTCTCTACCCTATGCAACGCCACCACTCTATACTATCTGGACTTATCATTTAACCAGTTTGAAGGGGGCAATATATTTGACAATGTTCTTATGAGCTGTCAAAATTTGCAATATCTGGATATATCTCAAAACAACTTCAGTGGAATTATATCACCACATTTTCTGGAGACGCACTCATCACTGATTGCTATGGTATTAAGTGAAAATTCTTTCACTGGTTCTCTGCCTCCTGAAGTTGGAAAGCTTGTACATTTGGTGAATTTCTCGGTTTCCCACAACCAATTTGCTGGCGATATACCCATCTCACTTGCTGATTGTTCAGATCTGGAGAATCTTTATATGGAAGCCAATTTTTTCCAAGGACCAATTCCACCAAATTTGGCTTCTTGGAAGAGCATCCAGCAATTAGACCTTTCAAGTAATAACTTGACTGGTCCAATACCCAGAGAACTTGAGAAGCTTCAGTTTTTGAGCTACTTAAATCTTTCCTACAACGACATTGAGGGCGAGATACCAAACACTGGAATTTTCAGTAATGCAAGTCAAATATCATTGACTGGCAACAAAAAACTCTGTGGAGGCATTGAAGAATTGGAGTTCCCACCTTGCCCAGTGATTAAGGGGAAAAACAGAGGAAAGCTGAAGGTTGTCATATTGCTGTCCATTGTTTTACCAGCAACGCTTCTGGTTCTCGGTGCATTGTTGTTATATTCCTTGGTACATCGGAAAAGAGAAAGAAGAATGGTGGCAGGATTCTCTAGCATGCCTACAAGAGTCAATAAGCTCTTGCGAATTTCTTACCATGAACTTCATCGTGCAACTTCAGGATTTTCTCCAGAAAACTTAATTGGTTCAGGAAATTTTGGAGCTGTCTACAAAGGAAGGCTAGAAAAATATGGCAACAAGCTTGTAGCAGTGAAAGTTCTTGATCTTCAAAAGAACGGAGCTTTGAAAAGTTTTAAGGCCGAGTGCAAAGCATTGAGAAATATTCGCCATAGAAACCTCGTTTCTATCATGAGTTATTGCTCCAGTATTGATTCCAAGAGTGATGAATTCAAAGCTCTAGTCTATGAGTTCATGGAAAAGGGAAATCTGGACCTGTGGCTGCATCCTTCAGAGACAACTGATCAGGCAAGAAGCTCAAGAAGTCTTAATCTTCTTCAGAAGCTAAATATTGCAATTGATGTAGCTTCAGCATTGCAGTATCTTCACGACCACTGCGAAGCTGAGATTGTTCACTGTGATCTAAAACCAAGTAATATTCTTCTTGACAATGATCTTGTTGCTCATGTGGGTGATTTTGGATTGGCAAGGCTTCTCCCAAAACCCGTCAACACTTCTTCCGAGCAAAGAACCAGCAGTACCGTTGCCATAAAAGGAGCAATCGGTTATGCAGCTCCAGGTAATTATAATTTACAACCTTTTATGGTCAAGATGTTCTTTAATTCTTTTTAACTTTTTATTATAATTACTATGAGATCTCTAATCACCGATGCATAGTAGCTAATTTTAATTAAGTCATTTCGTTCTAAAAGAAGGTCCATTATGCCCCAATCTAACATTTGATTAATTTTAATCACTTAGTTTTTTTTTTATAGTTTTTCTTTTACTACCCAATAATAATATGTCTAGAAACAAAATCTCAGAGTATGGAATGGGTCTTGCGGCATCAACTCAGGGGGATGTCTACAGCTACGGTATTCTTTTGCTAGAGATGATTACAGGAAGGAGGCCAACAGATGATATATTCGTGGGTGACCTTGATCTACATAACTATGTTAATGGGGTTTTGCATGAACGAGTTTCTGAGATCGTGGACCCGTTGCTTTTTCTTGAAGGAGATGAAAACAGAAATATGACTCCTGGAGGGAAAAATAGCAATGGTGGAAAAGAGATGGAGTGCATTATTTCCCTGCTGAAAATTGGACTTAAGTGCTCTGCAAGATTACCAAATGATAGGATGCATATGAATGAAGTTGTCAGAAAATTACATCTCATTAAAGATGTTTTCCTTGGTGTCAGGGTGCATCAAGAAAATCTTGAAGCTTAATATCTACAGGTATACACAAGAATTTAACACAGCCCGCAAGTTGAAGTCCATTTTTTCTATATTAGGTAAAGAATTTTATTCTTGACCTAGGCTTGCAAGCCAACTCGTTCTACCAGTCAAAATCTATTCCAGTCCAAACCAAAAAAAAACAAAAATCAAAAGCATGGAAAAAGATGGCTTCTCAAACTAATGCATGAATTCTTGATTTGCAGCTGCTTACAGGTCTGAATCTCCAAGCTGAAGTTGTTAATTGGGAGAGCTAATGAAGAAGACACCTTTGGCTTTTTAGTTGAAAAAAAAAATAAATGGATGATTCAAACATATTCCTATAGTCTTTCTTTATAAGAATTTGATGTTCTTGGATGCAGTCAATTGGCTCAATTCTGCTTGAACATCTTAATGCTTCCATATTATGCTTGGATCTAGTGCTTGAATAATATGCAATACATTATACTTACAATGCATAGTCTTGCTCCCACTTTCTTTGAATTTTGATTTTGCTACTATAGGTGAGGATCAATTGTACAATACATTCATATGTTCCCTTATTGCCATATCCATATATTGCTCAATTAAGTCACCTTACCTCTTAAATCTATGGATCTAGCCATGGTGGGGCTCATACTTTTATGCCATATCTTGATGATTTTGAATGTAAAATGTTAGTAGGGCCTAGTAAGTAACTTTGGCAATATCAGGTTGAAAGAAAAGTTAAAGAAGGAAGTGAAGAGGGAGGAGAAATTTTAAAAAAAAAAAAGAAAAGATAAAATGTTAAATACTTGGAGGAACTGCCAATAAAAAAAAAAATCAGAAGGGAAAACGGTTTTTGACTGAACAATTTATCTATGTGCAAGTCGCGTCCTCTGGCTCTGGGAGCCCAACTTAGGGTCAAAATTCGTGAGAATCACAAATTGGGTAAGGTATCGATTGGGAACATTCCACCATCACAGTAATAACAGACTCTCCATTAGCAGGGAAAAAGGAAAGCAAAAAAGTGTATGGGGGCAAAGTTTTTTTGGAGGGAATGTTTTTACAAAATTAGTTCATGATGCAAAGTGAAATACCGACTTATGTGAAGGTACACTTTGTTACTTTGATAATATCATTAAGGCTTAATCTTTTTTGCACCATTAATGTATATATTTACGAGTTTAGATGTATGCCACGCTATTTCAGTTTAAATTTAAATATCAAACTTTGCAAGCGTCTAAAATCCTGCTTGTCTATATATCAACAATGATTTGTACATTAAACAATCTCATTTCACTTGTGTTAATTGCACTTTGCACTCTTTGCTCCGACTACCATTTTCATCCTTAAACTACACTTTACTCTTTAAACTGTAAATTTTATCCCGCTTAAATATAATTCTTGACGGAATGCTCATAATTAATAGAATAATTCCCATATTCCGTGAACTTATCATTTTAACTAAAACTAACCAGATGTATTGGTACATAAATGTCAATTCAAAAACCCTTAAAACCTCTTAAAAATTAAACACATTTTCTTTTTCTTCCTTTGTTCTTACATTTTTTTTTTCATTTCCTTTTCTACTACCACACAGAAGGTACCACCATCGCTGCACCATACAATCAATAGTTTAGGCCAAGTCTAACACCGGAACAATAATATGCATATCTCTGTATCTCCATCATTGAAGACCAATATCCACATAATCATCCGCTACAAAACGTATCCAAAGGAAATTAAACTCCTATATCCAAAAAAAAAATCCCAACTAAAAGAATTATTCTCAACCAAAACAACAACGATGGTATAGCTAATGTTGCAGTCAACGTCAAAATAGATGAAAAAGGGTGTGATATGAAAAAAAAAACAATTTTTCCTAACTGCATTTGACTTTTTGAATTCATCGATTAATTGTTTTTATTTAACCAATTTCATGGGTAATCTTTTTTTTTTCAACAAACGGATTTCATGGGTAATTTAGGTTTGAAAATTCCAGCATCGTTAAATCAATTTCGTGGCTGTCATTTGAAATCCTAGTACCCTTAAAGGTAAATGATAGCAACTTTTCATCTCTGCAAGTTAGATGTCAAAAAACTGGTCGAAAAAACACTATTCTATAGTAGTACTAAAGTTTAAAATACCATCGTCATTAAGATCTAAGACAACAGGATGACTACGGAGTTTACTTCTTGTACAAGGAGGCCCATAGTCATTAAGATTTAAGACATCAACATTAAAAACAGCAACTATCAACTACGGAGTTCACTTCTTGTACAAGCAGGTCTAAACAATGGCCCATAGTCATTAAGATTTAAGACATTGCACAGTACATCTTTTTTGACTTGGTAAGAAGACCTTTAAACCGGCATTTCAGATTAATCCCATTGGAAAGCGCATAATTCGCGAAATACCCTTTTTTTTTTTTGACAGATGGCAACTATCCTTCTAAATCTCTCATACAAGCATATATATATATATATAACGTAATATACATACTCGTAAAGTCTTTAAAATAATTTATGAAACTAATAAGATTTAAAAGAAAATTTTTATTGTGAGTTTGGAACTTACAGGTGCCTAGTTGTCTGTTTGATTGACAGTGACGTCTTCTGCCGGCTCTAGTTCTAAGGAAATGACGATAATGAGAAATAAGAGTATCGTTATTTCTTTAAACCCTTAGACAGATATTTTAGATCCTTAATACTACCCACTACCTGGTGGTTTAGATAAGAGTTTTAATTGGTTGTGAACTCTTATCCCATCTTATCTCCTTCCTAACCTCCAATTAACCCTTTAATCTTTTTACTTTTTTTTATCCGAAGGAAATTACCACTTAAATTTAAAAAAATGAATAAAAAACATGTGTTTTACACCAGTATTGATTCCAAGGGTGATGAATTCAAAGCTCTAGCCTATGAGTTTATGGAAAATGGAAATCTGGACGTGGTTGCATCCTGCATAGACAACCAATCTGGCAACAAACTCAAGACGCCTTAATCTTTCCCAGAAGCTGAACATTGCAATTGATGCGGCTTCAGCATTGCAGTATCTTCACAACCACTGTAAAGCAGAGATTGTTCATTGTGATCTCAAACCATGTAAAATTCTTCTTGACAATGATCTTGTTGCTCGTGTGGGTGATTTTGGATTGGCAATGCTTCTCCCAGAAACCATCAACAGATCTTCCGAGCAAGGAACCAGCAGTAATATTTGCTGTAAAAGGATCAATCAGTTATGCAGCCACAGGTATTTTCAAATTTTTATGGTCAAGATGTTATTGGCAGTTGAACTCACTCTGTTTTTCATTGTGAGGCAGAGTACTCAATTCTGTTTTCCATTGTGAAGCAGAATATAGAACTTTTAGGAGGTACAATCACTGTTGTCTTTTTTTTTTCCCTTCTCAATTTTGTCATGTCACACTTTCTCTCCGCTCATATCATTTAGCGTATTTGGAATAAATTTTTTGAATCACTTTTAACTCATTCTTCAATTATATATATATATATATGCATATATGTATATGTGCGTGTGTGTATATAGATTTATATATATGTATGTATAAGCTGGAAGTTATTGCTTCTATATTTTAGAAAAGCAATTTCATTCTTGATATAGTCTTATAAGCTAACTCATTCTATTATTCAGAATATATTTTAGCCAAAAGAAATAATAAAACAAAACAAAAGTTATGTGTTGTGCTCAGTAGCATGGAAAAGGATGTCTTCTTGCAGGTACTAATGCATGGAAAAGAATGTCAATATGCCTTAATCCTTTTTCCTTAAAAGGATGTCTCCTTTCTTCTTGCAGGTACTATGCTTTATTGTTCTAACCGGTTTGTCATATTAGTAAATATTGTAGATAAAAAAATTTTGTCTTATCGTACAAGATATAGAGTCCACCTAAAAAAAAAAATACCAGCTCTCTCTAAATAGAGTCCACCTATAAAAAAAAAAAAAAAAGACTCCAAATCATGACATTTCTAAACAATAAATAAACTATGAAAATTCCTAAAATTAACATGAAAATTATATGGATGCAAAATGGTAAACCACAAAAATATCGACCTGAGTGCATGAAATACGATGAATTTATCTAATATGAACAGTTGAGTAGCTATTAAGTCATGATTGCTTTGTCATTAACAATGAATAGAAGTTCCCATGGCTAAGGGTCTCCGGTATTGGAAAATGCTTCATCAACAGTACACAATGAATATTTGCACTAATCACGATCATGATGAATATTCAATGAATTTCTAATTTTTATTGAGAAAGAATTTGTGCACGAGGAAGAAAGATGATCGAGCAAATTCTTTCCGTTTCATTAAAGATCTTGGGACCACCAAATTGTTTCATCTCTCATGTTTTGAGAAAAAAAAAAAACTTTTCTGACCATTTCTGTAAATTAGTCATGGTCGATATGCGTAAATTGCAAGTTGGTGGAAGCTTACTGACCATTTCTGTATTAAGTTCTGACAACGAGGTTTAGCTCATTTTCCGCAGAAAATTAGTTCCAATTGTGTGGGCTATACACAAGATTCTATAACAGCTCAAACATTATTGTTCCCATTCCGCAGAAACTTTTATCATTCAATCATCAGTTTGTAGCCAATCCCAACAAAGACCATGTGGGGACTTCGCTCATCGACATTAGCAACCATTTTTCTCCTACTCTCAGTTGCCATGACCTTTTCAGTAAGCCATGTTTCAGCTTCCAAAAAATTTCAAAATGAGACTGATCGCCTGGCTCTGCTTGAATTCAAGAATCAGATATATGATGACCCGTTTGGAGTCCTGAATTCCTGGAACCATTCACAACACCATTGTCAGTGGGAAGGAGTCACCTGCAGTACTCGACATCAAAGGGTGACGGCCTTGACTCTAAGGGATAAGCAGTTGTCTGGAACCATATCTCCTCATGTCGGAAATCTCAGCTTCATGAGGTTCATCCAACTTGGGGAGAATCAATTCCATGGTGGGATTCCCCAAGAATTCGGTCGCCTCTTCAGGCTGAGAGTCTTGAACCTGTCAAGTAACGCAATCAGTGGAAAAATCCCAGCAAACCTGAGCTACTGCTCAGAGTTGATAACACTTAGCCTAAGGGAGAATAAGCTAGAAGGCAAGATTCCTATTGATCAGCTGAGCAATTTGAAGAAGCTTGAAAAGTTAAATCTTTTATCAAACAATTTGACGGGACAGATTCCCTCTTCCATTGGGAACTTATCATCATTGATCCGAATCGGTCTCGACTTGAACAATCTGGAGGGAAATTTGCCCATGGAGATGGGGCTCTTAAGGTTGGTTCTGTTAGCAGCTGCTGAAAATAAACTATCTGGTATAATCCCTGCCTCCATCTTTAATAGTTCAGCCATTACTGTCATTTCAGTGACCGGCAATTCCTTTCATGGCAATCTCCCAACCAACATAGGTCTCACCCTACCAAATCTACAAATGTTGTATGTTGGGGGGAACAACATGTATGGAAACTTTCCAACTTCAATCACTAATGCTTCTGGGCTTGAGGTACTCGATCTTGCTAGAAATAATTTTAAAGGCCAAATCCCAACTAATTTAGGAGATCTTACAAATCTTCAATTATTAAATCTTGCTCTTAATTTCTTTGGGAATAATTCTACCGGAGACTTGGACTTTATTGCATCAGTGACCAACTGCAGTAATCTCAGAAATCTTTCCTTGAGTGGCAATAAATTTGGAGGTAATATACCTAGAGTCATGGCCAATCTCTCAAATCAACTCACAGAACTACTCCTGGGGGGAAATCAACTGTCAGGAACCATTCCAGAAGGGTTTGGAAAATTTGTCAACCTATATCTCCTTGGCCTTGAATTAAACTCTCTTTCAGGGGTCATTCCAAGAGATTTTGACAAATTACAAAATTTGCAATTTCTAAGTCTAGACCAAAATGAGTTGTCAGGACAGATAGTCTCTACCCTATGCAATGCCACAGGTCTATACCGTCTGGACTTATCATTTAACCAGTTTGAAGGGGGCAATATATTTGACAATGTTCTTATGAACTGTCAAAATTTGCAATATCTGGATATGTCTCAAAACAACTTCACTGGAATTATATCACCTCATTTTTTGCAGACGCACTCATCACTGATGTACATGAAAATAGGTGAAAATTCGTTTAGTGGTTCTCTGCCTCCAGAAGTTGGAAAGCTTATACATTTGGTGGATTTCAATGTTTCCCACAACCAACTTGCTGGAGGTATACCCATATCACTTGCTGACTGTTCAGATCTGGAGAATCTTTATATGCAATCCAATTTTTTCCAAGGAACAATTCCACCAAATTTGGCTTCTTTGAAGAGCATCCAGCAAGTAGACCTTTCAAGTAATAACTTGACTGGTCCAATACCAAAAGAACTTGAGAAGCTTCAGTTTTTGAGCTACTTAAATCTTTCCCACAATGACATCGAGGGTGAGATACCAAACACAGGAGTTTTCAGCAATGCGAGTCAAATATCATTGATTGGCAACAAAAAACTCTGTGGAGGCATTCCAGAATTGGAGTTCCCACCTTGCCCAGTGATTAAGGGGAAAAACAGAGGAAAGCTGAAGGTTGTCATATTGCTGTCCATTGTTTTACCAGCAACGCTTCTGGTTCTCGGTGCATTGTTGTTGTATTTCTTCGTTTGTCAAAAAGGAGAAAGAAGAATGGTGGCAGGATTCTCTACCATGGCTACAAGAGTTGATAAGCTCTTACAAATTTCTTACCATGAACTTCTTCGTGCAACTTCTGGATTTTCTCCAGAAAACTTAATTGGTTCAGGAAATTTTGGATCTGTCTACGAAGGAAGGCTAGAAAAACATGGCAATATGCTTGTAGCAGTCAAAGTTCTTGATCTTCAAAAGAACGGAGCTTCGAAAAGTTTTAAGGCCGAGTGCAAAGCATTGGGAAATATTCGCCATAGAAACCTCGTTTCTATCGTGAGTTATTGCTCCAGTATTGATTCCAAGGGTGATGAATTCAAAGCTCTAGTCTATGAGTTGATGGGAAATGGAAATCTGGACCTGTGGCTGCATCCTTCAGAGACAACTGATCAGGCAACAAGCTCAAGAAGTCTTAATCTTCTTCAGAAGCTAAATATTGCAATTGATGTGGCTTCAGCATTGCAATATCTTCACGACCACTGCGAAGCTGAGATTGTTCACTGTGATCTAAAACCAAGTAACATTCTTCTTGACAATGATCTTGTTGCTCATGTGGGTGATTTTGGATTGGCAAGGCTTCTCCCAAAACCCGTCCACACTTCTTCCGAGCAAAGAACCAGCAGTACCATTGCCATAAAAGGATCAATCGGTTATGCAGCTCCAGGTAATCATAATTTACAACCTTTTTATGGTCAAGATGTTACTTAATTGTGCACAGAAATATAGAACTTTTGGGACATTTAATTCTTTTTAATTTTTTTATTATAATTACGATGAGATCTCTAATCACTGATGCATAGTAGCTAATTTCTCTAATCACTGATGCATAGTAGCTAATTTTAGTTAAGTCACTTTGTTATAAAAGAAGGTCCATTATGCCCCAATCTAACATTTGATTAATTTTAATCACTTAGTTTTTTTATAGTTTTTATTTGACTACCCAATAATAACATGTCTAGAAACAAAATCTCAGAGTATGGAATGGGTCTTGCGGCATCCACTCAAGGGGATGTCTACAGCTATGGCATTCTTTTGCTAGAGATTATTACAGGAAAGAGGCCAACAGATGATATATTCGTGGGCGACCTTGATCTACATAACTATGTTAATGGGGCTTTGCATGAACGAGTTCCTGAGATTGTGGACCCGTTGCTTCTTCTTGAAGGAGATGAAAACAGAAATATGACTCCTGGAGGGAAAACTATTAATGTTGGAAGAGAGATTGATTGCATTATTTCCCTATTGAAAATTGGACTCAAGTGCTCTGCACGATTACCAAATGACAGGATGCATATGAATGAAGTTGTCCGAAAATTACATCTCATTAAAGATGTTTTCCTTGGTGTCAGGGTGTATCAAGAAAATTTTGAAGCTTAATATCTACAGGTATACTCAAGAATTTAATACAACCCACAAGTTGAAGTTCATTTTTTCTTTATTAGGTAAAGAATTTTATTCTAGACATAGGCTTGCAAGCTAACTCGTTCTACCAGTCAAAATCTATTCCAGTCCAAAAAAAAGAGAAAAAAAATCAAAAGCTATGGGTCGTGCTCACTAATGCATGGTAAAAGATGGCTTCTCATACTAATGCATGAATTCTTGATTTGCAGCTGCTTACAGGTCCTTTGGCTTTTTATTTGAAAAAATAAAATAAATGGATGATTCAAACATAGTCCTATAGTCTTTCTTTATAAGAATTAGATGTTCTTGGAGGCAGTCAATAGGCTCAATTCTGCTTGAACATCTTAATGCTTCCATATTATGCTTGGATCTAGTGCTTGAATAATATGCAATACATTATACTTACAATGCATAGTCTTGCTCCCACTTTCTTTGAATTTTGATTTTGCTACTATATGAAAATGTCAGTTACTATGAGAACAGCATAAGGGGATAAAAGGAGAGGATCAATTGTACAATAAATTCATATGTTCCCTTACTACCATATCCATGTATTGCTCAAATAAGTCACCTTGCCTCTTAAAGCTATGGATCTAGCCATGGTGGGGCTCATACTTTGATGCCATATCTTGATGATTTTGAATGTAAAATGTTAGTAGGGCCTAGTAAGTAACCTAGGCAATATCGGGTTGAAAGAAAAGTTAAAGAAGGAAGTGAAGGGGAAGGAGAAATTAAAAAAAAAGGATAAAATGTTAAATAATTGGAGGAACTGCCAAGAAGAAAAAAAATCAGAAGGGAAAAGGATTTTTAAGTGAACAATTTATCTATGTGCAAGTCGCATCCTCTGGCTCTGGCAGCCCAACTTAGGGTCAAAATTCGCGAGAAGCACAAATTGGGTAAGGTATCAATTGGGAACATTCTACCATCGTAGTAATAACAGACTCCATTAGCAGGGAAAAAGGAAAAGCAAAAAAGTGTATAGGGGGCAAACTGCAATGTTTTAACAAAACTTTGCTTTTTTTGGAGGGAATGTTTTGACAAAATTAGTTTATGAAGCAATGTGAAATACCAACTTATATGAAGGTGGACTTTGTTGCTTTGATAATATCATTAAGTATTAATCTTTTTTACACTGTTAATTGTTAATGTATGTATTTACGAGTTTAGATGTATGTCACATTTATCTCAGTTTGAATTTAAATATTAAACTTTGCAAGTATCTAAAACTTGCTAGCCTATATACCAACAATGATTTGTTCGTTAAACAATCGCTTGTCAGTTTGAATTAAAATATCAAACTTTGCAAGTATCAAACCTTCTAACCTTTATACTAACAATGATTTGTTCGTTAAACAATCCCATTTTCAGCATTGCTATTTAAGCTCTTACTTGTGTTAATTCTACTTTGCACTCTTTACTCCAACTATCATTTGCATCCTTAAACTACGCTTTGCTCTCTAAACTATAAATTTTGTCCAACTTAAATACAATTCTTCCCGAAATGCTCAAAATTAACAGAATAATTCCCGTATTCCGTTAACTTATCATTTTCACTAAAATTAACCAGATGTATTGGTACCTAAATATCAATTCAGAAACCCTTAAAACCTCTTAAAAATCAAACATTATTTTCTTTTTCTTCCTTTGTTCTTGCATTTCTTCTTATTTCCTTTCTACTACCAGACAGAAGGTACCACCATCGCCTGCAGCATACAATCAATAGTTTAGCCAAGTCTAACACCAGAATCAATAATATGCATATCTCTCCATCATTGAAAACCAATATCCACATAATCATCTGCTGCAAAACGAATCCAAAGGAAATTAAAGACCATCTATGCTCCCAAAAATGCTTCGATCTCACACTCAACATTACCCACAATTAATACAACCCTACCTTCAAATCTAGCGGCACCCTGCTTCCAATTTCCACTTTCAATTTACAGCAAAAGGTCCAAATTTTCTGGAAACCCACAAAACCATGTCCAAAAAAAAACCAAGAAATGTTGATAATGTTGAAGAACAAGAGTCATTTGCGGTCAATGTCAAAATTGATTGAAAATGGGGTGTGATAAATTTTTCCTAACTGCATCTGACTTTTAGAATTCCTCGACTAATTTTTTTTGGTGTAACCAATTTCATGGATAACCTAGGTTTGAAAATTCTAGCACCGTTAGATTGGTTTCGTGGTTGTTATTTGAGATCCTCAGTACCCTTGAACCTTAGTGACAGCAACTTTTCATCTCTGCTAGTTGTATGTCAAGAAACTCGTCCAGAAATCACTATTCTAGACACTGCTAAAATTTAAAATGCCTTATCTTAGAGTTTGGGCCTATATTGACGGGCAAGACACCGCTTGCGGCTTGGATTTCAACAAATTAGAAATTTTTGCCAATTTTTTGGAGATTAAAATTTGAGTTGGAAAGGTGAGAGAGTTAGATTATTGGGTGGGCTGGTGAGGAGTAGAACAAGGAGAAGGGATCATTAAATTAAGACGAACAAGAAAGAATGAGTAGACGAAGGTACAACAAAAGAATCGTCATTGGATTGAGAGGATTTTTTTTTTTGGGTCTCATGAATTTACATTTTTGTCCCTAAAATATTTTGTTTCATTTCAGTTACACTCATAAGTCAACGGAATGTGATAATTATTATTCTAGTAGTATCAGTTTTCTTTCGCGTTCCGTCTAAGAATTGCATTGAAGTGGGACGGAATTTATAATTTAGGGAGTAGAGTGTTTCATTTCTAAAATTGAGTTTAAAGGGTGCAAAATGAAATTAACCCTTCTTGCTCCCCTTCGTTCTTGCTTTCCTGCATCCCCAGCTCAACTCATCTTGCTAGTATAATAATCCCAGCATCCAACTTTCCCTCTCATATTTCTTCAACTATATATTAACCGATCTCAACTCCGCTGCGGCGGTCCTTTTTGGACGGAAACCGAGACGTTTACCGAAGCTGTATGTATGCATCAATACCTGTTAATCTCTCCATAGATTATCCATGGAAGACAAAGAAACAGAGTTCCTCTGTAAACTCATAGCAAACCATCTCTTTTTAGCCCAATTCGAGCCACTTCGGGCGACTTTACGTAGTCTCCGAGTCCGAAGCCCGGAGCTTGCCCGATCAATTTTGCAAACAATTGTAGCCAAAGGTGGCCGCTTCGACTCAGTCCTCTGGTCTCACCATTCCTGCCCTTCCCCATCCCTCCTCGCCTTTTTGTCAACCCTCGAACTTTTGCAATTCAATGAACCCGTTCTGGGGCTCTGGTCGTTCGACGAAAATAGCTTGAAATTGAGGGCTGAGTTCTTGTTGTATGTGCAAATTGTAAGTTACAGGGTGGTGGAGAGTGTTAAAAAGCATGTAGAGTTGAATGGAATTCAGGGAAATGAAGGCGGCTTTAGAAATTTCAATATCCCGGTTGAGTTTTTGGCGAAAGAGGACGGTTTCAGGATTTTGGACGAGGAAAATGGTAAGTGTTTGTGGGTTTTGGATAGGATTTCTAATGTGGGTTTGAGCCGATTGAGGCCGGACATGATGGTAGTAGAGGGAGAGGGGGAGAGGGAGGGGGTTGTAGAATCTGTTGAGGAGATTGGGGAAGAGGAAATGATGGTTTTGAAGAGGGTAATTTTGGAAAATGCAGAGGTTTTTGATGTGTTGTGTGTGAATATTGAGAAACAGCTGGGTATGATTCAGAAGGATGATTCAGGGATGGCAATTACATTGAGGACGGAAGGGAAACGAATGGAGGTGGAGGATAGGGTGTTTAGGTTGGCGCAAAGATGTGTCCAGATTGTGCTTTTAGATGCTATGAAGGAATTATTGGACAAGAATGAGCTGGATGGGGTGGTTTCTCATTTATTTGGATTTTGGTGTGGCGGATGATAGGGTGTTAATTGCTAGTAATTTTGTTGTTAATTTCCCCTTTTATTCTTGCCAAATATTGTTTTAATTATTAATATTTACTTATATTTGGTATTGGGACTTAATTTCAGGAACAAAGCAGAAAATTACCAAAAAGGAGGGACTTTTATGGGAAATGGAGACTTCTAAGGACCTTGGACTCTTGAATTGGTGGGGACCACAAGCTAGTGAAAGACATTTTTTCATTTTGGCCTTTCAAAGAAAGCAACGTAGAGAGACTTGGACCAAGAAGTAATTTGGAGGCTTTGTCCACATGTGTGGGAACCACAGGAAATAGCTTTTAGGCTTCTTTCTTTTGGCTTTTTAAGGGAAGACGTACAGAAGCAAAAGAAGATCTTTCTTTTTTTTAGACGGCTCTAGTTTAGCTTTCAGGATAGCTTTAGTTTTTCTTTCTTCTCACTGGCCTCTGACACACGCCAGGTGTTTGACAATATTTTCCAACAGGAAAAACACCATTTATCCCTTGTTTTCTGGTAAAAAACCGCAATGCCTTTGCAATCCATTAATTCGTGTGGTGATTTAATTATGCGGCGTGGTTAAGCTTTCCTTCTAGCCGAGGGATCAACTGACGAATTGGTTAACGTTTACTGTGAGATCTAAATCGTTTTTAATTATTTTCTTCATTTATTAGTAGTTATATGTTCCCTGATTTTAATTGTTATAGCCTTATGTATGATTGATTAGTGCGCAATAATTGATTATTCACGTAAGCTATTTTGCTAAATTGAGGTAATTGAATCCGTAATTGTTCGTTATCTCTACCTCAGTAGCAACTGGCGTAATTGGGATTATGTCAGGGGAGCATATGATCTAGTTTAAACAAACCCTCGTAGCGTGTTTGTTAGTTAGGATTGGGCCTTTCTAATTATTAATGCAATCTAGAAATTAAATCCTACGGTCGTACCTAGAATTGTTTTTGGGTTAGAGAAATAGCTAACGGTCGTACCTTAGCTATCGATAAATTAAGGAAGGGTTGGTTGTTTAGCGCGTGCGAGACAACTATAACCAATCTATTAATAAATGTTGGAATTATCTGTGATTCGATGATCAGTGC